TATATTAGTGTTTAATTTTTAATATATTAAAATCTATTTTAATACATAACAATATATAAAAAAATGCAAAATTTATAACGGATTTAGAATATAGATATAATTATTTTTTAAATAACATATTATTTCTTTTTATAGTTTTAAAAATAAACTTTGATTTTATATCGTATCTATAGTTACTTTTTCTGTTTTAAAGTTGACACATTTATTTTTTTATTTCTCTAGAACCATGAAATCATTTAGATTTTCGTGAAAGTCATTCTTAGTTGAGGTTAATAATAGTTCTTGCTAAAAATTGTAAGCGAAGTAGTTTAAAGAGGTGTTAAAATAATAATTTGTGAACAATGAATACTGAACAAATTCTTAAGTACGATATCAAACAATGTTTAAATTTAATAATAACTGGTAAAAATGCGGATATTATTGAAGGATGGACCAGACTTCAAAAATTAGAAAGTGAGCCCGTATATGGGCAATTAAATAATTATGAAAGTATTTTACGAGAAATACTCAATGATGAAATAAAAAATGTACAAGAAGTTTCAAGAATTATGATTTGGTTTTCAAAATATTTGATAGAGAAACCATTTACTGTTCATTCAATTTCAAATGATATAGCAACAATGTTAAGAAATACAGAAATCAGTGATATGTCTCATTTGACAATGATACTTCAAGTATTATTAGAACACAGTGTATATTTACCAGAATCTGTGAGTCATTCAAAACTTTGTGAAGCAATTGTTATTAGTTTGTCTACTTTTGTAATGCCATGTGATCCAAAAAAGATTTCAGAATTCAATGACAATGCTACAAAAGTACAAAACTTTTTAAAAATAGTAAGATCAAAATCTAAGAACATTGAAAATGATAATTTAATTTTCATATGTTTGCAAACATTATATAGAATAATATCTGATACTAAACAAAAACAAGATCCTGGACCTGGTTTAGCTGCTGTATTACAAGTAGTAGAACCTTCTATTATACCACAAGCTGTTAATTGGATTCTTTCTGAATCACATTCTGATGCTCAATTAACTCAAGCTTTAAAAGTTTTATGTAGTTGGCTTCCAAAATGGATAGGTGACCGACTAAGTATTTGGATTATGGAGTTTATACTTGGATTAGAAAAAAGACATAAATATTCAATACTTATTGAAGTTACAAAAGCAAAGATTGATGTAATGTTTCGTGCTTTATCTGTACCTGTATTTCGTCAAAATGCTTCCACAATTATATTTTATATATTAAAAAGACAAGGATCTCCAACCTTGTTTCAAAGTATAATAAGAAACACACAAATAGTGATATCTTTTTTTCTAATGAAAGAAGATTCTGAATCAAGCAAGGAATGCATACAAAATTTAGTTGATATTATGAAAATACTTACATTAAGATTTTCAAATCAGCGTGTTTGCAATAATTTAGAAAGTAGCTTTCCAGTTCAACCACGAATGCACATTATTAAAGAAATATGGAATGAACATGTTTGGATAGATGAAATGGAAGAAATTGAACCAATAATTGAATCTCCAAAAACACATTTGGGAAAAGTTGGACTTTCAAATCTTGGAAATACATGTTATATGAATAGTGTATTACAAGCATTATTAATGACTAAACAATTTTGTTATGAAATATTAATGTACAAACCTTTAAGCAAAACTGATGATCAAATTGTACTTAAAAAGTTGCAAAATCTATTTGCTTTGTTATTATATTCAAAAAGAATTTCCTTGGCACCAACTGAAGTTTTATTAGCTTCACGTCCTGCTTATTTTCTACCGGGTCAACAACAAGATAGCTCAGAATTTCTCTGGTTAATATGTTATTAATATTTTAATGCTTTTTTTTTATTAGAATAACAATTTATAATTATTATTTATTAATTGTTTATAGATAAAAGAGTCATTATTTAATAGAATATTTTTAATAGAAAATATGTTTTGAATGTTTAAATTAAATATACATTAATAAAAATTTAAAATAATATTTGAAAAAAATGTTTTTGCTAATTATTTATGATTTAATTGTAATATTTAATTTTAATTAAAATATCTTTCCATGTAATTTAAATAATATGTTATTTTTCAACAGTCATCTTTTAGATCTTTTACATGAGCAAGAAAAATCAACTACTATAAATGGTGAAGCTAATACTAATCTTAAATATAAGGATGATAGAGAAATAAATGATATTTCATCAATAAGTGAGGAAGGAGCTAGTATTAAACGTTGGACTACTGAAGAAGATTTAAGTGGAAGTATTGTATTAGAAAGAAAAACACAATCACTAGCAGATTTTACTCATGGTATTTTCCATTCTTTAATCTTTTTTGTTAAAATGTTTATATAACAATATTATTCTAAATATATTTTATTTTAAATTTATATTATTGCAGGTGAAGATTTAGCACAAGTACAGGAACTTAGTGATTCACATTCGGATTCTACAGATAGTGGAATACAATCTGTAGGTGGAGAAGATACAAGTACTCAAGTACCTCTTGTGCATAGAGTATTAGGAGGAAAATGTAAAATTACTTATCAATGTGCTCAATGTGATACTAGTTCTGATAATACTGATAAATTTCGCGATTTACAATTATGTTTCCCAGAAGAGATTCAAGAAAATCAAGAAGTTTCTGTTCAAGATCTTATAAATTATTATCTTACACCAGAAAAATTAACTGGTGAAAATAAATATCGTTGCGATAAATGTATGAAGTTATGCGATGCACAAAGAATTATAAAAATTTTGCATGCACCTACATATTTAATTTTAATATTGAAACATTTTCGTTATGATTTTGATACGAGATTAAGAACAAAATTACGGCATAAGGTGATGTATAATGAAACTATACAATTACCAGTATCAACATCATTATGCACAACTACAGAAAATTATCAATTATATGCAGCTGTTGTTCATTCGGGTTATAGTATGGACTATGGTCATTATTTCACTTATGCTCGCGATTCGAAACAAAATTGGTACAAATTTAATGATAGTTATGTTTCACAAACGACATTTAATGATTTTAAGGATTTAAAACCACCAGACACGCCTTATATATTGTTTTATGAAAAAACTGTGCCATTTGAAGGACTTTATGATGAAGATAAACCCGAATTATTAACATTAAATAAACATTTACAAGAATTAGTGGCAAATGATACTACAGCTTATATTGAGGAATTGAGACATCAAGCTGAAAAATCTCAACGCGGACGGCATAATTCAATATTATTTCGAAAGAATGAGAATTCCGATGATGAAAATCCTCCACCTAGTAACTGTCGGGGTGCAGTTAATATGCCTGCAAGTCGTTTCCTCTATTGAGTTATTTTAACATGAAAATGATTATATTCTTTTATAAAATTAATTAATTGTTCCAGGTAAATTTGTAATACATTTTCCTTATGTTAGTAAGAAAGTTAACAGTTCCTTTACAAGTACAGTGCTATTATATCAATTGGTGTAAACACATTCAAGAACAGTATTGTATGAAAATTTTTACATATTTATTTGTTGTAGTTTTAATAAACTTTCTGACGTGTATTGTTCTAGAATTTCTATATATGTAGAACAAATTTGTACATGATTGTATATTTCACAATTATTTTTAATATTTGCATAATATATGAAGAAAAATAAGGGAAGAATTGTTAACATTAATATTACAATATTACAATATTAAAATATTGTAAAATATATATAATGAGTATTCGCGAATTGTATTTAGTATATTTGTTTCTTTTAGTATATTTGTTTCTATGAATTTGAAACAATTTTTTTCTTTTAATGTCATAATGTATTAAATTATATAAGATTAAAAAAGTACATTGTTATTGGAGTTGGAAAGTGTATTATAAAATTGTAATGGAAAGAGAATACAAACTCAGTATTTTTTAAGAAATTTTAAGAAATTTAATATAATTGGCTGTGTTTTTACATAGTATATGCAAATAGAAAACAGTATTTATGTAATATTCAAAATACTATCAATTTTATAATCATATTTTGTCATGTTTTTGCACACAATGATTTGATATCCATTTAAACAAATGCCTTTTGTCATGTAAAAAGATATAAATGTCGTTTATTAAGCAATTTTTTACTAACATTTATTCTGGCTTCTAATATTCATTATTTATAAATTAATAAATATAATGTACATAAATTTATAACATATTTGACAAATGGTAATTGTATTTATATAATTGTGACAGAATTGATCAATGAAATTTGAAATTTTGTTAATTATTATTAAAATAATAAAATTAAAAAAAAATGTAAGAATAATATCAGCTATTATTGTAAATAGAAATATTTTAATTGTAGTTATCTTAAAAAAAAAAAGAAAATAACTCCAAGCATTACAAACTGTGATAAATTTATATATTATCAAATTGATAATTAATTTCTTAGTTTAATATTCAATAGATAAAAAGTATAGTATCAATCTTAATTTATAATTGAAATATAGTAGTATACAATATTTATTAGATTTTATGTATTTATAAATCTCTTAGTATACAAATAAATCATACAAAACTATTCTTTTGTAATAGACTTAATACATTGTATTTATTACTAATCTAATATTTCTACTAATTCTAAAAAACAGTACAAAGAAAATATATATTTATATATTTACAAAATAAAAAATAAATAATCGATGAACATTTTATTGCACAGTTATATGTATTATTATTAATGATATTATTAATGAGATTATTTATATGTGATGCAATTGTTTTTTATTCATTAGTTTAATAATATAATTTAAATATTAAAGATTTACTAAAATATAATTAGAAATAATAAAATAATAACATACAATTATATCTACTGCAGTATAAAATTATTTGTTATTCTATTTTTATTACGTATAGTCGAAATAAAATATAATTGAATTTAGTATTTTATCAATTTTATGTTATGAATTATAATCAATTTTATGACATTGTCAATATTTAATTCAATTATTAATAATAATATTTTAATATTTTTATCTCGGTATGTCACGTTATAATTAAAGATATATTCTGTTTGATAACAATGCATTCATTCAATGATTATGAGTACTTTATGTAGATTTAATAAGGAACCATTATTTGCTATCTAGAATGTATGTATATTATAAAGTACATTATTTTTATCGTTTGATAGATCTTTGTTTAAGCTAGATGGTTCATTTGTCTTCCATACGCCTTACCATCATCATGAAGAAAATATATTTAGCTGTTTTTGCTAGTAAGTTTTGTCAAATTTATTATTACGTGTATTATTTTATTATATTATTAAAGTTTGTAAGGTTGTAAAGTTTTGTAAAGTTGTTAATACACTGAAAAGAGTAAAAAATAGAATTGGATAAAAAATTGTTTAACATTCTCTATTGATATTAGGTAATGTAGGTATGATTTCATATGGTTTATTCTTTGGCTGGCCATCGCCTTCATTGTCTCTTTTAATGCAAAATAATAGTCCTATATCTTTAACATCACAACAAGCTACATGGGTTACATCCATTTTTACCATGGGTGCAGCTGTGGGTGCAATGTATTGTACTTATATTATAAATATAATTGGTAGGAAATTGACTCTACTTTTCACTGCGATACCAATGATAATAGGATGGATGATGATTGCTTTTGCAACATCAGCATGGGTAACTTCTATTAAATTATAGTATATTTCATTACTGTATAAACATGTTAATTAAAAAAAGAATATGATTTTATGAATTTTACAATTACGATAATTTTTCATTTAAAATGATTCTACGATTAGTCTGCAATTTATTGTTTTATTTCTCAGAGATATAGTTAATACTTTAAGCAGATATGTATAATACTTTAATACAGATATGTAGATATTAACTATTGATATAGCTGATATTAACTATGAGATATAAATATGCACATCAAGTATTATTTAATACTTAATTTAATACTTTTCTTATAATTCTTATAATAAACATGTTTCGTATTATATTAAATAATAATCAATGATTTTCGAATTTTTAAATATAAAATTTTCACTATTTACAAAAGATTTATTTTTCTTTCTCAGGAATTGATTGTTGGTAGATTCTTTTGCGGAATAAGTAACGGAATTGGGCATATGTCTGCCACTATGTACGTAGGTGAAATTTCGCCAGCTAAAATAAGAGGAATATTAACTTCATCATTGACTGTAGCTGCAAAATTTGGTATACTGATTGAATGGCTGATAGGACCGTTTCTTTCTTTGAGAGATCTCGCACTTGTATCATCATCAATACCAATTCTCTTCTCGATGATTTTGATATCATTACCGGAATCTCCGTATCATTTAATGCGCCATGGGAAATATCAGGAAGGGATTACATCTCTTATGCATTTAAGAGGAACTACAGATGTTTCTAAAGAAGCTGAGATCATCGAGAAATATATAAAAATTGATTTGGCTAATAATACTGGATTGTGGGAATTAATCAGCATTTCAGGAAATCGGAAGTATAGTATAGTATATCATATTTTTGAAATCTTTAAGTGATTTTAAATATTCTTAATATGATCTCAATGATGGTCAAATAATAACTTCTTTTGATTTCAAAAGTGAATATATTTAATTTCTTTTATTTTTTAGAGCGTTAATAGTTGTATTAGGTTTAATTGCGATTCAACAATGGAGTGGCAGTATGGCGATACTTTCATATGCCGAAATAATTTTCAATGAGACGAAAAACGAATTTGAAGGCAAATACCTGACTATGATATTGGGTGGTATCCAAATAATATGTGCGGCTATTAGTACATCTGTGGTGGATCGGTACAATAGAAGGACTTTACTCATATTTTCAGCATCGGGCGTTTTCATTTCCACTTTCCTTATTGGTTTATCTTTTTTCCTTCGGGAAATGCAATTAGACATCAATGGGATCGTTTGGTTACCAGCTACTGGAACGATACTTTACATTATCATGTATGCCTTCGGCTTGGCTGCACTTCCATTTACCATGATGAGTGAAGTTTTTCCTACGAATGTTAAAGCACTTGGCAGTACAATTGGAATGTTATGCTGTTATTTTTGTTCTACTATCGTGACTTTCTCTTATCAACCTATTGCTATTCAGTATGGGACATATATTGCGTTTTGGTTCTTTTCTTTCACCACTATCGTGGGTATCATTTTTATATATTACTGCGTACCCGAAACGAGAAGAAAAACATTGCAAGAGATACAGGATCAATTGCATGGATATAAATTATAATTAAAAGTTGTAAATTTTTTTTATCATCTAAAATGAAAAGATATATATATATATATCTAAATTTTAAAAAAATATTATCTTTATGTTAAGAAATTTATAATTTTTTAGAAAAAACTTATGAAACTTATATTTGATAGACAATATCGTTTCTTAAATTGTGAATATGGATTCATTCAATTTGCTTGCTTTTGATATAGATATTCATCTTGGACGTCACATTTGCTAGAAATTTTAGAGAAGCCAAGTTCGTTACAGAACGTAATAACTATTGACGACATAACTCGAATCATTTCTATATCACAAATTGGAGATTTAATTGATGGATTCATAGAACTGCTTCTGGGAAATCATATAGACAAGAGAATGTTTCTCTGATTATTAATGCTGTTCTTGTTTGATTCAATTTGATATTTTACAACACAATTATTTTAAAATTTAAATTTGTTTGATGGAATAAATTCTCTTAACAAATCAATAATTTATTATTTTTTCTAAGATAATTTATATAATTATATCACAAATATTGGTTCTAAAATATATTTTTTAATAATACGAATATATAGAAATTGATATTTTTGTTTTCATATTTAAAAATTATTTAAGTCAATTTATTATATGATCAAATATTTTGTTACGAACATAAGAATATTTAATATTTTATATCTTACTATTATTTATTTACTCCTAATTAAAAAGTGTGGAAAATTAAAGATATAAAACGTTTCTTTATAAATATTTGATCAGAGCATATAGAATTTTTTTATAAATTTATTAGAATTTATAAAAGAATTTTTTTAATTTTAATAGAATTTTTTTATAGATTTATTCATTTATTTATCATGTAAAAAGAAAAATAATAAGTAATTTGATTCATCATGAATTCTAGTGAATAATAAAAGAAAATTAAACATGATGAAATAATAGGAAGAAATAATTATTGATAAATAAATATAGAGTAATAATTTATATATCGCATGTTAGTAATGTATTTAAATAAATATCATATAGAATCTATATGTTTTTCAATAATTGAGTTTTGAAAAGTTATTAGATTACGTAAACTGCAGTTCTATCCATGTAGCTCGTTACTAAGAATAAGTGTGTGTATATATATATATATATATATATGAAAATACCATCGCATAAAATCGTATTGTTATATGTAAAAAATTATACTAAGAATTTTGATTTATATGTATATATGCCTTATTCCCTGATCTTCACATTTGTTATATGTAATTATTTAATTCTTATTTTTGCAAAACATTTGAGCACAAATGAGTTATTGTATCATTATAAATGTTAGATTTTTCAATAATGGCAACAAAGTTAACTTTATGATGATTTATCTGTAATAAATCTGTAATAAAGTGTATCTGGGATATACTTTAAATATTATCAATGTATTTTATATTTTTATTTATTGTAATTAATTCAGAACGTAATATTATAATGATAATTATAGTAAAACATTTTAATGAACCGTTATCGCGGCTCGTTCACCTTGTCTGCAAAAAAAAGACTAATAGAATACTTTTATCTATGCAATTATATTTGTTGCGAAACACAATTTTATTTCCTCGTAAAAACGTTCGAGTCAGGTGGCAATCGTCAATATGTCAAATATAAAACTTTACTTGGTTACTTTTGTTGGTAAGAAAAAATGCTATAAAACATGTCAATTATTCGTTTGCAAGTTATAATACCAATAATCGTTTCGATAAGACAGTATGTTTAGCTCAACTCAACGGTGGTCTATTTTTGGGATGGACGTCCCCAATGTTAATCAATGGTCTTCCTTTCGAAATCACTACGAGCGAGGCTTCCTGGTTAATGTCAATGTTCAAATTAGGAATGTCACTCGGATGTTTCGTTTCGATATTCATCGCTGACTTTATAGGCAGAAAAATTTCAATATTATTAGCCATCATTCCTACATGTTTAAGTTGGTTACTAATAGTATGGAATTCAACAACAACGGTACACGTACATTATAGTTTTTAGAATACGAATATTCATTAAATAATTATATTTAAGCTTTCCTTTCATATTTCAAGAGCATAAGTGAATTTTCAATATTTACACAACTCGGTTCTCTATTTTTCACATTAATTTACACGTCATATATTGATATTTATCAAATATATATTGATACTTATCAATTTTTATTATTTTCAGAATCTGTATATCGCACGTTTCATAGGTGGTATAGCCAACGGTATAATTTTCACAAGTGGTTCTATGTTCGTGACAGAGATCTCTCCTACGTATATTCGCGGTGCCTTGTGCAGTTGCTTCATATTAATGGATTATTGCGGTAACCTTTTGGGCTATGTAATCGGCTCGTTTGGCACTGTGCAACAATATTCTTATGTGGCGTTGTCGTTGGCAATGTTGCAATTTATAATATTTATCTGGTTTCCGGAAACGCCTTATTATTTGTTGCGCCAAAAAAAATTCGAGGCCGCTATGGATTCTTTGATATTTTTACGTGATTCGGCTGATATTAGCGAGGAAATGGATTCGATCATGGTATGGGATGCTGATAATAAAGGAACTTTATCTTCCATTTTCAATCTCATATCTCAATCAGGTAGATTAAATTTTGTAAAATTTTGAGAAAAACCCTATATCTATTCGCAATTTCTAATATATTAAATATTTTATGTTTCAGGTGGCAAAAAGATAATCTTTATCAGTATTGGTGTAATGATGCTGCAAGCATTCTCAGGCTCGATCATTCTTATTGGCTATCAAACGATCTTCGAGAATTATAACGGTGAATTGCAAAAAGGTTATACCAACATCGTTTTAATAACGGTACATCTGATCTCATCTTTAATGTGTATCAGTTTAGTGGATCGTTTAGGAAGAAGACCTTTGATGATTATATCCACAGTAGGCGTTTCCAGTTTCAGTTTTCTATTGGGTATTTACTTTTACGTGCAGAAAAATTCTATATATATTATGGATCTACAAATATTACCTTTGATAGCGACATTATTTTACGTTGTGAGCATCTCGTTGGGATTGGCCATTCTGCCTTATGTTATTATAAACGAAATATTTCCGATATACGCGAAAGTAACGTGTATCAGCTTTTGTTTCTACGTAAACTTCATGTGGTCGTTCATTATGTTGCGCATCTGGAATGTCGTCGTATTAGAATATAATGCATATTCTATTGCATTTTTGTGCATCTCTGCGCTAAACGTGTTTAGTATTTTTTACCTAGTGTTTTATTTACCAGAGACGAAAAAAAAATCGTTTTTGCAAATTAGAAAGAATTTCATCGAAGAGTGAAGGAGTGATTAACGAAGAATATATCAAATTAAGTATTTTGTAGATTTATAATTTGTTGTTATAAGTTGTTGTAAGCTGTAGAAAATAAGAGTACCACTGATTTAAAAATCACATAAATTATTTTATTGAAAATGTTAGAACAGCCTTTCAAATGTCCACATCGGACTTCTATATAAACAGGTACCAACACGATGAAATTTACAATAATATGTACATTTATATCAATGTTGAGTAAGAAACGCAATTATTTTTTTCAATATCCTTTTCTTTTTTTTTTTTTGTAAATATTTGGACATATTACAACTTGTAATAGAAACCAAGGGGCAAGCGTTAATCGACGAAATGGATGATTTTTAAAAAATTGCATTATAAAACAAGAGAATATTCTCTTTTCTCCCGAAAATATACATTTGTCTAAAAATTTACAATACAAAAATACAATTGATCAACTTCATACATTAGTCACGTCAATTTTCTGTTTGATATATTCTTATATTCTTTTGCAAGCATAGGGGCATGTTCATCTAAAATTCATTTCAGTAACAGAGAATTAAGCTATTGTTTCTCCTGAAATAGTTCACGTGTTATCGAAGCGTCCATCTTCAATTGGAAGATCAATGTTCATTATAGCGGTAATAGAATGGTGTCAATATTGATCGACGGTTGTGTAAACGTTTATCGTTACATTCGATTTGATCGCCTTTGACCACTCTATGGCTATCGCGATAACCCAAAGAACGTATGTTAGCATTTCAATTCATTCTCGTGTGCCATTAAGCCATCAATCTCACGTTATTATTCTTTGCATAAAACACGACGAACGACAGTTTTTCACGAGATAATTATCTCATCATTTGGACAATCCCAATCAATTTATCCAAATGTACGAATTTATCCTATTACGAATTTCGTAAACAAGAGAAACACGAAGAACCCGTTAAAGAATTGAATCCAGACATACCATTATTTGAAACTCGCAAAGTTGATAAATCTATTAAATCAGTGATACGAATTGCTTTGAGCGAACTAACGCATTGATGGTCTTAATTCTCTTATCTCACACACAGACCAACTTGAGAACATCCCTTACGTAAGATAAATTATTCATTGGCGATGTTGGACCATTCGCAAGTAGAAAGTACCAGCAATAAAATGGCAATAAGAAAATCTTGCCATTAAGAGTTCACAGTCGGTTACAAAGATAGATTCTGGACACTTCAGGTATCTTGGCTATTGCTGGTTTTCTGAGATTGAAGAACTTGATCGATCGTCATAGTTTCCTCGAATTTCAACGAGGACGATGATGTCGTGTATTCGTTCTCTGGTTCCATTTTAAGCACCAACACCGTGATTGGAACTTCTGAAACATATATATACACATAGACACACGTGCACAACGAGAATACGATGTTTCGAAATTGTTGATTTGTTTAGCGTGAGAGTGAAAGGGTTAAGTGCTAGTAACACGAGACGCAGACAGGAAAGCGTAAAAGCACACGTTACACGCGGGCACATAATTTCAAGATCAAAGGCATTTCCAATGGAATTCTGTCCCCATAAGTGGTAAAGCGAGTTTTGCTGATGTCAACATACATGTTCATACATTTAAGTAACAATTCAAACGTTTCATAGCCCCACGAATTTATCCTATTCGCTCGAAATAACTAGTCTACTCTTCGATCGATTTGTATCAATACGAATTTACTTAATGATATAGTTGTCTGATCAATTCCAGATAATGCTGCATAAATTGAAAATTCCATACCACATGCCATTGTATCCCTGAAGTTTATTTCTATCACTATCGGATTTGCATCGCCATTCAATCTGATTTTCCTTACTTATTAACGTAATTTGACGTCTTTGCATCAATAATAACGACTTTGTAACATTTTAACTTTATACCATCGAAAGAAAACAATAAAAAAAGCATCGATAACTTCGTTTTATCAAAGATATATGCGTGAAAGATGGAATCATAAGTTACGTTAATTATTTAAAAAAGAAAAAGAGAAATTGCAAAATTTCTTTATATTCTTTATAGATAAATTGATTTATTTTAAAAAGATACCAAATTAATTTTTAAAACAACAACAATGCACGATATATAACGTTTTAAATAATATAATATAAGATCGTTTGTCCGATAAATCCAATTAAATTTACCTTCGCAACTTCTGCAATTTCTTATTTATTATTCAAAACAATTCAAAACAAAATCTTCAAGAAACACGTATGTTTTAAATTATGATTTAGAATATGCGGAAAGCGAGCGCTTACCGGATTTTCCCTTCTGATTATCGGACGTTGTGTCAGGGAATTGAACGTGTTTTCTCGATGATCGTCCTGTGACAGGACTCTTATCCAAGGAGAGTGTGTTCTGAGCCGTGGTAGGGCTCTGCGTTGGCGTTGCGGTTGCTTTGGTTTCGTTGTTGGTTGCCGCCCTACGAGAACTCAGGCAAGACGTAGCGGTTGTAGTTGGCGGCTGAACGGCATATCTCACTGCTGGAACCTTTAAAGGTCGCTTCATAAGATCCATTTTATAATTGAATTTCGAAGCGACCGTCTTTTTTTGGGGGGAAAAAATAACGAGCAAACGAAGACTTTTTCACTTTCTCTTTAAAACTTTAACGTAGAATAACCGAGTTCTCTGTATTCAAAGGTATCGTCGAGAAGAGTTTTTAATCGGAATTGAAGATCGTTCGAGGTAATTTCATCTACGCCATTACGAAAATTGCAAATGAATTTTCTTTTACATGTGCTTGAATCGAGTTTTTATACCTATGATTTGCATTGAGATTGTTCTTAAAAAGTTAACGTTTTCTGAATATCGTTTGTCGATCGAATCGAAAGAGTGAAATCAAAAGTAAATTTCCCACATGTCGATTATTTTGAATGATGCTTAATCTATATCGTCGACATTGATCCGACAAGTTAATAATGGGAGCCTGATCTGTACACTATAACGTCATCAGTAACGTAATCTATATTAATCAATGTTTGAAGGTACTATCAAATTCTCTCTTCGAAGTGTATTCTAGATATGCGTTATATGTATAATTGTATCGTATTACTGTAATTTGGCGAATAATTTTATAGTTAAAAAAATATTGATTTTTCGATAACAATAACATACTGATTGTTATTATGCACGTTGACATAACGTATTTTCAATCGTGTAGTATTTGTTGTAGTATTTGAAGCATCATATTTGAAGATATATTTTATTTAAAATATAGAAAGCACACGTATTAAATTTTAGATATAGATATATCATTATTCTTCAAATTCAAACGGAGACTTCAAATTAATATTCTATAGATATGAGATTTTACTGCGAAATAATAAAACGAAATAATAAAATTCTCTGAGGATATTGTAAGAAGAGCGTGAAGAAAAGAATGGCGATATCAGACAAAGATTCGGGACTGATTGACATAAAGCTTCCATTTGGATAATACGATTGTTCGATATGCTCTCGAGATCTTTTCGCTGTAATTTCTTTCTGGAAAAGCAGAATTTCCGGAATGATAAAAACACAATTGGATTCGTTTCAGAGAGATTCTTCGTAACCTAAATAAAACGTGATAGGAACAACATTTTTCTGGATTTCATACAATTGTTGCGTAATGTCGTTTTAAAGGGTGCACACTAGTATACAATACAATAATACAAATATTCCATATCTAGATTTTGTGTAATAAAACAACATTGACATCTCTTTTATTATTATTATTTGCATGAATCTGCTACACGTGAAATTTTATATTATACTTCGTCAATCTAATTTTCTTATGTCCATTATATCCAAATCAGTTATATCTCTCTTTTAATCATTAAAATTCGTTGAATGTTAAATTTCACTTCCTACAATGCCCTATGTATTTAAATTTATCGCGTGTCCTACAATTTTCACGATTATTCTCATCGTGTATTGTACTCTAACTATTCGACAATACAGTTAATACACTTAACTTTTCGTCCCTTATCTCGTTCCTGTTTCCGTTGAGAGAGTCTCAGAATACTGACCCTGTATTCGTAGTCGTCCGCGGCAGTGCCTCGACCGGCCACATATTCTTGATACTGGGAGATCACGCACAACACGGAATATATCTAAAGTAAAGGATACGTGGGATATAGCCGGAAATCCGGTGCCTGGTCATCTGATAACGTAACACATTCTTTCTACCTAGGTTTGAATATAATTAAAAATAAAAATCAGAAGCGAGAAACGGAAAAACGGAATGTCGATGGAACTGAGGTGAAACTGATGGGATACAACGTGATATTTTAAAAAGCTTGCGATGTAGAAAATTGTGTTAGAAATTAATTAAAAGCGATAATGTAATGGTAAACAATGATTCCGTGCGAATCAATTATTCTTCGTAAATTTACTTTTGAAATAATTTACTTTCTGAATTAAAACTTACGTTCAGGCAGAAAAGGAAGAAGTTCAACGTATATAGCATCACTTTTGTCGGGTCAAAAGTGGACTGAAACAGAAACGTGATAAAATTAAATCACTCGAATTGACGAATATCCTTTGAATATATGAAATATGTTCGACATTCCAAAATATATCTTATCTTCTTTTTTTTTTTTTTTCCATCCATCACTGTCCATATTTTATTTATTAACTATAATTGTTCTAAACGATAATATATTTGCATTGTATGACAATATAAATTTTACTGAACGATCGAGAAATCATTACGGGAGTTTCGATTACGGGAAACTAATAAAGATTGATGTTCTCTATTATTCGTGTCAAGTTTATACGTGCATGTATATACCTATATCGATCGTAGTTATAAAATGATATTCGATATACTGTTGAAAAATAGTTAACACACAAAAGCCTTTCATAAAGAATAAATTAAATTTTACGTTGTTTGCATCTCTTAACTTTTTAACGGGCAATTAGTTTGTATGTAAAAAGAAAAATAAAATTCTAACACCGTTGGCATCGTAAAAAAAAAAAAAAAAAAAAAAGAGGATCCTTGATTTTTCTTTATTTTCAAAACGATGAAATCGTTGAATATAATATATCGATGGAAAACTAATTTCAATTTTGATCCGAATCGTTTATCGAAACAATCAGAAAAAACAAT